ATCTGGCTCTTGGTCTTCCATCCTATATCCAATGAAGCTCCACTCATATGTTGACAGCTCTCGACAGTTCATTTCTACCAACACAAACTTGCCCACATGGCAAACATCCATTTCATATTACCCTGTCTGCAGAAAGAAATGTGTCTCTTCTGTGATTGGGGGAAATTAAGTCATGCCCATTCTTCATAAAGCTATGCAGAAATATCCTGTACTCACTACACCAAACCTGAAATGCTCTCGCTGGTTCAAAATGCGACAACATGCCTACACAGCAACATGGACTACACCACCCCAAAGCCTTTCTTTATACACTAGATTCCTGTAGGATATCTAATTCAAAGTCTTTGGCCTAAGGCCTAGGTCTCTTTTTACCCGGCCATGATGAGCCTTATTCTACTGGGTTGATTGTCATTGGCAAGAGGGAAACTCAGGGAGGCAACTTCCACAACCATGGAGCTTGGTCCTGGAAGTATGAAAATAGTAACAGCTCTTACTGACTTCTGAAATAAATGCCAAACCTATTTATTTGACCTGGTTTTCCCATCATACAGAATATTTAAATGCCTGTGGATGGAAGGAAAACTCTGTTTCCATCAGGCCAAAGAGGACTATCAAGGAAATTTCATAGTAAAGTTGTATCTTCAAAGCTCTGATTTGATCTGCTGATTCCCATAGCTTTATCATATAAGACCTCCCCAAGTTTCAAAGATCATGATGAGTTTGGTCTGAAAACCCAGATCAACCAATTCAATATGAATTTAATCACCAAGAGATTCCTCCTTCTCAAGGGGAGCATGAACCTGTCCTTGCCGGAAGTCTCCTATACATAGGCTTGGCAGAATTCAATTTTTATTTTTTAATAATTTCAATGGATAATATTGATGTTTATTTTTAAGCATTTGTTTCAATTGTTATCAATTTAATTTTTAATTATTGTGTGAAATTAGAGGGTTTGGGGGGGAGAATTGCCACCAGCTGAGCAGCAGAGCTGCCATCAGTCCTAGCTCTGCTTGCCCATAACTCCCTCATCCACTTTGTCACTTCTTTTTCCTTTGTCCCCAGTCCCCTGGGGTTTCTGGGAGTTGCAGTCCAAACTACAGTGGGCACGGTTCTCTCCCTGTCATCATCGCACACTCCATCAGCTATCACTTTTCTTATGCTCCTTTTCTATAAAGTTTGATTATTTACGATGGAAATATTTTTTGTCCGTCTGTGAGCATGGGGTGAAGTCAATGTTTATCAAAGTTTACTGATAAAATAAATCAAATCCTGCCAAGCCTACTTACACACAGTCTCCACACAAGACCCATAGCTGCTTGTTAAGCGTTGCTTGGAAAGAAGCACACCCCTCGAATTGCTTTATGCCCTTGGCCAGCATGAGGAAGTCAAGGCATAAGATTCCATTTGGCTCAATACACAATTCTGCATAATTCTTGCCCCATTTGCACAATTGTTGGAATCTGCAGCTGCTTATTGAATATTGCCTGTGTAACTGTGGTTTCATAATTAGCCATTTAATTCTCCTGTGCCTGATTTCCTTTTTCTAACTCCCTATATTGCATTGTTTATATTTATAAAAAAACACTTGCTTATATTTCTCTTTACATCCCGGAGGTACCTTGATGACTTCTGCTGTGCCTTTGCCAGTTTCTTTGGGATGGATTTCAGGTGCTGCCATGTCTATGTGTGCTCTGAGCAAGCTTGAAGGGAACACTGGGGACTCACTAAGTCAATGACAACTAACCTGTCACATCACAGCTCACACTTGAGCACTAAATGTTCTCTAAGAAAAGACAAGTGCTTAAGCACTTATGATCCACTGCAGCTGTGGACAGAAAAAGACTGTCTGAGGACTGTCTGTGGAGCCTATAGGAAAACTACTAGGCTTGATCATGTAATCTCTACGCAGGTAAAACTGCTAATGACTGAAGTGGGCCCAGTGGGATCATTTTGACCTGAATGGTTAGTGGTACCTTTCCCAGCCACCATCCGCTACAGCAGAAATTGCATAGAGCTCAAATTATATAAGTCTGACTTAAATGAGTGAGGGAAAGCAACCATGCTGTCTTGTTACCACAGATGGGATTGTTTGGCACCTGTTTGCCTGAAGTTGACTGATTTCTACAACCCCAGCACTATTCCAGGTGCCTTGAAAAGTGACAACCTCAGTGCCCACCTTTCTCCTAGCACTGATGCTTGACTATGTTAGAAGCTGGGGATTAAAACAAGAAGCTAGGAGACAGCCTTCTATTATCCACTTAAGCCTGAGTGCTCTGCTATTCTAGGTAAGTCACTTAAACCTTTCTCGTGCCTCAGTTTCCTCATCTCTAATATGAGCTCTCCCCTGCCATATATCACAGTCAAACTCCAGGCTTTCTGTGCCTCTTGCTTTCCAAACATGACTTAATTGTATGATCACTAAGTGTGCCATAAAGTAGTAAATAATGGCATATATGTAAATTCTCCTGCTTTTCCTGAATTTAGCTACAGCCTCTCAATCTCCCAGCTTCTCCAAAGAATATTTTTCCTTCTTGCTTGTGCTCTTGAGGCTGCCGTGTTCTTCCTATTTTGTCTTCACTTGTGCTGCTTACAGGGTCATTCACTCCTTGTGAGCCAGCCATGTTATGAAGAGAGTGCAAGTCAAGAGTATGAACAACAGCACAAATGAAAAATGACATCTCTCACTGGTCATTTTTTATGGGGAACCTTAACTCCACAGATGTAGATCAGAGAATGAATGTTACTAATAATACCAGAGCCCACTTACTCCTGCATGTAATTGCTGACAGATTTTTTTTTCACCAGTTAGCATCACCTGTTGGTTCAGGGAGTATTTCAAACTTGCTTTTGGCAAATAGTGAGGACATTATAGAATGGAAAACAAGTTTGGGTCAAGTAATCAGAGTTGGTTCAGCTTAAATTAAAATGGGAGTCTAATTAAAGGTCTCAGGTTCCCAAAGGGCAAATTATATTAATGGAACTGGTTGGTGAGGTCAGCTGCTTGAGAATTTGAATGTGGAGGAGGTTTGCAATGTGAGTCAAAGGAACAAACCCGTATAGAACTTGCAATTAGTGTAGGTGGCTTTAGGGAACAGGCCAAGCAGCTCTGAGTACCCCTTCCTGGGACACACCAGGCTTTCAGTCTCACGAGTCATATTTACATGGCTGAAGAGCCTTTTGTCACTTGTTTCAGTACCCTTTGCAAGGTCTAACTCAGCTTCACTTCTCGCAATTCTTGTGTCATCCCTTCACTTCTTGACTTGAATAGATTTTTTTTTGCTGACCAGTCCATTTTACAGGCAGTCCCCGACTTGCAATGTTTTGAGTTATGTTTTACACTTACAACGTTTATAAATTGACACCCCGTTTCAACTTTCTGACCTCAGTTTTGACTTTACAACGCTTGATCCAACACCACGCCATGCCAGCGAACAAGTCTGCTGTCACACATCTCCCTGGAGAACATCTGTCCAAACTTCCTTGGACACTGCCTTTAAGAAAGCAGACAAGACTCCTGAGAAGACTCCAGCCAAGAGCCTTTCAAAAAGTCCAACCAAGAGCCTTTCAAAAAGTCTAGCCAAGTCGCCTCAAAGAAGTCCTTCCAAATCAATATGATTGCTATTTACAATATAAATACTTTAATGTAGCTATATTACTTGTCTATCAGTGATTGAGTACAAAATTCTCAGTTATTTTTGGTGAAACTAGGGTATCGGGCCTTAGTTCAGGAACCAATCCCCCATTTTATAACACTGTTTCCTATGGGAAAATAAGTTCTGAGTTGCAATGTTTCAACTTAAGGCACAGTTTCCAGGAATCAGTTGTGTCGTAAGTCCAAGGTCTGCCTGTATTTTATATTTTTCTATTCCTGTAGACTCTCTACTTATTCCTCATGTCCTTTTGGAAGTGCTTAGTCACTCCGTGAGGCCTTTTACATTTTTAACCCTGGCTTGAGGTTCAAGCTCTAGATGGGAATTGTCCATGGTGGTGAGTCATAAGAGTGAGTCATGTCAGTGTGAAGCAACAGTGTCATAGAGGAATCATGTGATCCCCACATGTTGTTTTTGTCTGTAGGCCACGTATACCTGCCTTAGTCATCCTCAGTCAAATATCTATGTGCTGTCCTCCAGCTCCCCGTCAGATGAACACTCTCTGGGCAGCCAAAACCAGACCTTCTTGCCTGGCCTCAGCATCTTGTCTAAAGCCAAAGAAGGGAATAGTAGAGCAGCTCAGAACAGAACCCACGAGCAACCTGCTGAAGAACATTTCCGCTATGTTGCTGAGGTATTTTCAACCTTTAGCCATCCATGGGTTGCCTGTCAATATCTAAATGGATGGCTTAGCCATCTAGATTTTGGTTGAAATTCTTATCTGCGAGTATAACTGTAGGCACAAATCCTCGACGAGTTGTCGCACAGGCTGAGCGAGGGGCAAAACACCATGTGGGCTTATTGGGTGCTTTCCTGAATGACCCCTCATGTCAAACGCCCCTTTGTCTGGATAGACCCCACCCTGGACTCACGCCTTGTCCGGTGCTAGGTGCTTTTACGGCTACGCATACACACTATAGGATAATAACACAACAGGATATGCTCTAGCTGGGGATGGCTCTGAGCAAGGGGGTGCTCCTGAGGTCCCTTCCTTCCAACCCTCATTTTCCATGAAAAGTAGTCCTGCAAATGCTTGAGGTTTGTCCCGATTCCTGCCTTGGTACAGAGCAGGGCGAGTTGCGAGCCCCCAGTACGGATGGCTGCTGCCCCGGGCTACAGCACGCCGCGCAGGGAAAGGCCTAAGAGAGCGAGCACTCTGCCCAGGACACACCCAAGGCTCAGTAACATGCTAGCCCCGCCCCTGACTCAGCACAGCGGCCTGCCACCGATTGGCCGCCTGCCGGCTGAACTCAGAACTCGCGGAGGGGAGAGCCGTGATTGGCCAAAGGGGGGCGTGATGTCATCCCTCGTGCTGCGCGGAAGCGTGACTCAGCAGAGCTGGCGGATAAAGGGGCCGGGACCGAGCCCGCGTCCGATCCTATTGCTTTGCCCCGCAGCCCGCGCGGAGCCGCTCCTGCCGGCGCCCCGCTCTCGTCGGCGTGTGCGATGGAGCTGCCGGGCCTGGGCCAGCCCTGCTCCGCGAGCTTCTGCCGGCGGCTGGGTGAGCTCCTGGCGGGGTGTGCCGGGGATGGCTCTGCGCCTGTCCTGTCCCCTCCTAGCTCGGACTTTGCAGATAAAAAGGAGATAGCATGGTTATCCAGCATAGAGCCTCATATGCAGCCTACCACTTGCTGCATTTTGAAGTATTGTAACTTTTTTTTTTTTTTCCATCGGAGAGGTGAAATATTTGAATGGAGGGCGGACCCTGGAATCAAAAATGAAAAAGCACGTTAAGCTACAGATGGACCTACCCAGGACGTGCCACACTCGCTTAGGTCCTTTATGCGGTGTTTTGGGGCTTTGCTTGCTGATTGTATAAATGTACATCGGTAATCTTGGTGGTGCTCTTTCCAAATGTTGCTTTCATTGGTCAACTTGTACACCTTCCCCGGTGAGGATTTCATGCGCTGACTGTATTTACTTCTTGCAGACTTTCTTCCTTTAAAATGTGATGCATGTGAAGAGGTTTTCTGCAAGGATCATATCGCCTATGACCAGCACAAATGTACCTCTGCATACAAGAAGGTGAGTGTCAATATTAGTAATGACTCAAATGTTTGCACCTTTGGGAATCCCCAGGTCACGTATAGAAAAATGGCTTTGAAACCTGAACTACAGTTCCTAAAAGACGAAAAAAAACAACAGGGTAGAAATATTGGGGGCTCAACAACTGGTAAAGTTCTGAGTGAAAACAGACAAGGCTTCTTCCATCTTGCTCTGAAGATTATTGCTGTTCATTAAGGGAATGGCTATCAACTGAAGGCTGAAACAAGTGGGCTTCATTGTCCTTCAGCTTCCCCTGGAGAGGGGCAGACATCACATGACAAACATGCTCTAGAAAGAGAAATGAGACTTACTAGGAAGTTGGTTTGAACACTTAAAAGAATAATGCTTCTTATCCGTTCAGATGGCTGCATATAATCATATAGTCTGTTTTGAAAAACACTTTGGACTCTAGACTTAGATTAGCTGACTTGATCTTCTTAAAGCAACTGAATGCAGCTACAAAACAATGCAATTTAAAGCTTAATACCAGAAGGGTCCCTAAAAAGCACCTTGAGAACTTTTAATTTTTTTTTAGGAAAATAAGTGCCTAATATATATACATATACATATATATTATTCATTCAGAGTATCACTCCACAAAGAAAACCCTAACCCGTTACAAAAACTGCACCCATACAAAGGCCTGCTGGCCACCCGGACAAACTCTGGTCTCTCAGACCAGGCAAACCCTCTCTTTCATCCCCACCCTTCTTGTGGGGTCACATACTCAGTTCACCTGTCGTCCGTGTCACTGTCACTCCATCTCCCACTGGAGGACCCACAGCTGCTGTTGCTGTCCTCGGTTCCATTTGTCTCTTCCTCTTCCTCACTATCACTGCCCCTTTCCCCGCTAGGGGGAAGTTGGAAGATCCTGTGCCGCATGTCTTTGTGCCAGGTGGCTTCGGTTATGCTGATTTTTTTTTTTTTAAGCCTTGCTTCCTGTTGGTCCCACTTTTAATCTTTCTCTATTTCCAGGATGTGCAGGTTCCAGTATGTCCTTTATGTAACACCCCCATTCCTGTGAGAAGGGGAGAAATGCCAGATGTTGTAGTTGGAGCACACATGGACAGGGACTGCAAATACAATCCAGCTCAGCATAAAGAGCGGGTGAGGAAACTGCCTTTGGAATCTAAACCGTTTACTTGATGCTGATGGGGTCAGGCCCCTGAACTCCAGAGCAGCCCCTCTCAACTGTTTTGTCACTGACCCTTTACCTTCCTCTGGGATCTTGCCTGTGTTGATCTAACTGGCATGTCTGTGCTGGTTAGGATGTAATTGGCAGTCCAGCTCTTCTTTGATAAATAACTGTTCTGTGCCAAGGTTCCTTTGGTTGCTGTTCGGTGATCAGTTGATTGTCTATTAGGACTGTGGAAAGCTTTGGTAGCCAATCTGATCCAGATTTGGCCCGATTCGGGGACAAAAATTCGGACTCTGAATCTAATCAGGAGACCAGTTAAACTCTGAATCGAGCTGAAGCACTGAATCGATTCAGAAAAGATTCGGCCATAGACTAAACAGGTAGCTGACACGGCTACTTCCAGCTGGTAATTCTGGGGTTGGGGGAAGGATTGGGGCTGGGACAAGCTGCCCAGCTGGGGCAGGGGGGTGTGCGATGTGGGCATGGCAGCGCTGGGAGTGGGGGCTGTGCCCTGCTGCTGCTTGCCCTCTCCTGCCCAGAGTGAGCTGCACCCACATCCTGCCCCTGTGTGGCAGCAGGGCAGAGCCCTGCTTCAAGTGCTGCTGTGCCTGCCTCTGCCCCAGTTGAGCAGCTTGTCCCAGCCCCAATCCCTCCCTCCCCCCATGCCCTTTTCCTCCCAACCACGACAGACTTACCAGCTGGAGGCAGCTCTGTTATTTGCCTGCTTAGTCTACGGCTGAATCTGATTCGGCCGAACTGAATCGGGACAGTGATTCAAATCTCCGAATCGAATTGCTGTCCTCTGAGAAGTGAATACTTGCTGCTTCTCACAGGCCTAGTGTCTATGACCATTTGATATTTTAACTTGTGGCCTAGATAAGAAATATGCCAGTGGCTTTCAACCTCTTGGCTGTACAGGCCAGACAAGTGGTGTGGGGCTCCTCTCTGAACCTGATCAGAATCTGGGGGCCTGGTGCAGCCCTCTCCCACCACCACTCCCCCTCCTTCCTGCTGGGAATGGTTCCTAGCGGCCTGGTGCTACTCCCTCCCAGACCCTTGCGCTGGGATGGGATCCTGGGGCCTGGCCCTGCATGCTGTGATTGGGTGCAGGGCCCAGGGCTTCCCTTGAGTCTGGTGGTTTGGCAGCAAGGGAGAGGTGCCTCCATTCCTCCATCCAGGGGAAGCCTAGATGGTAGCTGGCCAGTAATCTGAAGTGGATATATACTTGCTTTCTGAAAAAATCAATCTGTCCTGTGCCACATCTAGATCTTCACAAACAAGTGCTTGAAGTCAGGCTGCAAAAGGAAGGAGATGATGAAACTAGTTTGTGACCAGTGCCATGGAAACTTCTGCATAAAACATCGGCATCCACTGGATCATGACTGCAAGGGGGGAGGCCGTCCCATCTCCAAAGCAGGGTGAGGATGGTAACCTGTACTTCTGGACCTGTGACACTGGAGCTAGGCAAGCAGTTGTCAGAGTTGGTAGGTGGGTAGGAGAAAAGGACAGCATTCCTCTGGTTGGAGAAGGTCAACAACTCCTTTTAGTGAATTTGTAACTTCTCTGTGAATGGGGGAGGTCTTGGTTCTAGTCTAAGTCCCAATGGAACTTAAGCAGGGGCTAGAATTCATCGGCTCGGCCCCCATCAGTTATGCCTGGAACAATCGCTCTTGAGTCACTTTAGTTCCACCTTTTCTATGGACTGGGACTTTGCCTTTTTTTAATAGCTCTTGGGTTCTGTGGTAGGAACCAGCGAGTTTACAAATAGTAAAATGTCTTGAGCCCTAGCCTTTCTAATAGAGTGACCTGTCTCTTCTAGGCAGAGCTACCTTCGTTGTCCTGTGCAGTAGGATTCTAGTGCAGTTGGGTGACCAGTCTTGCAGAGATGACAAGAAGTGGATGGATAAGCAAGATCTCGCCATATATCTGCACAATAAAACGATGTTCAGCATGGTTCTGTTTCCTTGTAGGTATGCGGCTATAATGAGAGCCTCCAAATCCAATGTCAAGTTCACGGGATCAAGCACGGTGTCTAATGGGCTTCTACAGCATAACGGGTATAAACTGAATCTTCCTTTGTGTCTTAAACCAGAAGGACGTAAAGCCTTGTGTCTACAGAATATAGCAGTGTCACTGCTACTTTTCCTGTAACTTTTTATTACAGTAGCTAGTTGACCTCTGATCGAAAGCAGGAAGGCCAAGGGAGAGGGGCAAGGCTGTAGGCACAGTGTATGACATAACCAAGTACAGCTTATTTGCTGCTTGCCTCAGTGGTGATTTTTAAAACACTTCCACTACATGTAAACAGTGGGGTGGCAATTTGCTACCCATTACAATGAGTGGCATCTAACTTTGATCCAGTATGAGAACATAGTAAGAACGTAACACTGATCATACATGTCGCATATTGTTCTGGAAGCTTTTTTTTTCTTAGTTTAGTTGCAACTAGGACAAGGAGCTACCTCAAATTGCTTTCCTATGGGGGCTGATCACCTTAACTAAGCATGATCTAGTAGAGTCCTGTTTATCTCCAATTCCTTTCTTGTGTTCTTTTTCAGATGCAGACAATAAAGCAGGGGTCATTCCTAACACCTGGATCAAATTTGTGCACCTACACACTTTCTACGCTGCAGACTGAAGACTAAATTAAATTATTTTTGTACTTTTTAATATCTCTACTATTAAACATTTTTTCCTTTTGCAAAGAATGGTAACTTGTATATATTTTTTTTGAGTATCTGAAGACACAGTAAAAAAGCACAAACCATGTTCTAACTGGAGAACTAGGGAAGAAGCAAACATCTACATGGTGTAAAAAGAAGCTAAAGATTGAAAATGATAGTTAAGAACCATTGTACTTGCTTCTGGTGGATTAGGACCTAACTTGCATGGGGAGCTGAGGGAGACATGCAACAGCAGTCCATGCTTACATCTACTTGGAAACAGGATATGGCCATACAGCACTTCATTTACTGAGCAGTTAATATTGTCCATGTGAGGCATGATTTTGGGCAGGCAGTGGCCAGGAACTGGCAGGTGTTTATTTTTTAAACTGCTTGACATGCAAATCTACTTGCCCCTTTTGAGATGTTTGGTAGAGATGCCTGTACTACAGCACAATTATCATGGAAGTGAAAGTTCCAGGGACTAAAAGATGTGAATCTGTTTGCCTTCCTCTGGTACCCCAAAGTAAATCTGCTGTCCTATAGTAGGGGCAAGAAAGAAGATGCTATCTTTGTAAAAGGGGAGTTAATACACCTATCCCATCATTTGCTGGTGCGCAACAACATGTATTCCTTTTCTTTCTTCCTGTAAAGTGAGCCTAGAGAGCCGCTTGTTTGAAAGGGTGGTTACAAAACACACCCAACCACCTGATCAAATAAACCCTAGACAAGCTTGTAACCTCTGTATCTTCATTAGACCTCCTTCCAAAAACTTTCTAACTGAAGTAGGGATCAGTGAAGCATGGGTCTACTGCTTACCATGGCACAGTAATTTAGCTTGGAAATTAAAGTAGAGAGAGACTTAAGGGACCAATGTTAATAAAGTAACTAGTTAACTAGGAACCTAATTAGCTGCTTCACTTGGCTACTTGTGTAGAAAAATGTCAGGACTCTTTCAGGTTGCCATGGAGTTGGGACTTCGATTTCATGTCTCACTGGAGCCTCCATCAACCCTGTGGCTCCCAATCTGCTGTGGTGATGGTTTAGCAGAGTCAGAGCAGGAGCAGGCTCCTTTAGGGTAAAAAGCATTATATAAGTGTAGTCATCTTTATTTTCCTGGCTTCCCCCAGAGAATTTTCCAAGGCAAGCCAATCTCAGTAGTAGAAACTGATGCTACATTACATGACTATCTAATTCTTAAACTGCATGTTTTCAGTGTGTCTGTACCAAATTTTGCCACAAGGTGTCACAATAGGATGCATAATATAATATTCTTGTAAATTTAATCCTAGAAAACACTCAACTAACCATTCAAAGTGGCAGATGAGCTTAAATTACAGACCTAGTTTTAAATGCCAGCGTCTTTGTGCTTGACCTCTCTGCATCTAGGCTTAGCTCCAGAACAGCTCCTGTATATTTCCATTGTGTTAACATGCTTACCTTTTAGAGGGCCTTCACCAGGAATTTCCCCTTAAAATTCACATCACTCTTTTAAATGGGGGGGAAAAAATCATGCTCTTCTTACTTTTGATTTCTGTCATTGTTCTTCCATGTGAATTGCCTGAGGGGAATGTCTGCAGAAATGAAATGTTAGTTACTTGTGCATGTGGCACATGGCAGAAAACACAGTTTTGTTTTCCACAAGCAAGCATTTGCCTTGGAAACTTGTCTGAAGAGGCTAATTCCCTCAAGCCACGTTCTTGGTTTTCTACTCCCTACATGGGACCAAGCAAAGTGCATCCACCCGGCAGTCTTTCAGTATTCACTCAGGGTGTACAGACTTGGCTGTGTTAGCCTGAATTCAGGCAGAAGGCAGGGCAGAGGCGCACCTTACAGACTAATCTAGTCTGTGCACATCCTTTCACCGCCTCTGGCAAAAGGAGCGCCTGCTCGCAAAACCTCATGTACCTCGGATTCAGCTAGTCCACAGGGAGGGAGCCAGGGAGCCAAGTAGCAGGCAGGGCAGATTTGTCTTTTATATAGTGTGTGTGTGTGTGTGTGTGTGTGTGTGTGTGTGTGTAACTAGTGAGCTTCAACTCATGAAACTTGTACTGTGTGTGTGTACGTGTACATATGTATGTGTATGCATATGTGTGTGCATATGTATATGTATGTGTATGTATATATTATATAATACATATATATGTGTGTGTGTGTATATATATATATATATGTGCATGCACATAGTGTGCACGTGGACACTCCCGACCACACCCCGGGCGACGCAGTGACGCAGCACGCAACCAGGCTCCCTCTTCGCCCCGCCCCCCGACCCAGCGCTCCGCGCGCGCCGGTGACGTCACCCCCACGCGCCCTCGCCCGCCAGACCCGGCTCCCAGACCGCTCAGCTCCAGGAGGGAGGAGGCGGGACCGAACTGCTGCGTGACTTCCTATTGGCCGCCGCGGTGATCGACACGGCGAAGCCCAATGGGGCTCCGCCGCTGGCCTGCCGGAACCAATGAGAGCGCGGAGGCGGTCTGAGGCGCCAAGCGAGGGGTTCCGTGAAAAGCACTGCGGGTCGCGGAGGTGCGTGGGGCGCCGCGGGACCGGGACGGAGCGGGCTGGGGCGGGATCCCTTCCTCCTTCTCCTCCTCCTCCTCCTCACCCTCACGCCCTGGGCGCAGGCCCCTCCTCCCCCCGTGTGTCCCGCCCACGTGATCCTCGGGTCGCGCTGAGGGGCCGCTTGACCTCGTGGCTTGTCCTCGCGCGCCGACTCCTGCTAGTCTCTCCGCTCCCCAGGCGTGAATGACTCGGCCTTGGTCACGGTCCCGTTTCCCCATTTAAACTTGTCCCTTCCCTGGTGCCTCCTGCGTGACAGCCCTGCAGCCTGGCTTTAGCTCCAGCTAAACGCTTTGGCTCGTAGTAACTGGGGTGCGGGAGCGGCGGGGGTGAACATGTCCAGCGCTGTCAGGACTCTCGAAGGCTAGATTTTGTTGAGATAAACGCAAATCTCTTTGGACCCTAACTATAATGACCACCCAAAAATCTTCTGTGGGTTTTTTGCCTGGTTTGTCATGTGTTGTTTGTTTTTTAAACTATATATACTCTAGCAAATTGGTGCATATTCATGCCATTATAGACAACTACAGTTGGAAGAGACCTTAGGAGGTCAGTGGTTTTCAACCTTTTTTTCATTTGCAGACCTCTAAAATTTTTTTGAATGCAGGTGCAGACCCCTGTGGAAGTTTTTGAATGGTGGTGCCAGAACCCCTTCGAATTGTAAGTGTGGGTATTCACGTACTTTTGATCATAGTCCTCTTTCACAGACCCCCAAGACGTAGTGTGTGGACCCCCGGAGGTCCACAGACCACGGGTTGAAACCCACTGACCTAGTCCAACCCCCTGCTCAAAGCAGGACCATCCCCAGCTATATCATCCCTGCCCTGCATCTGGGGTTTAAAAACCTCCAAGGATGGAGATTTCGCAGCCTCTCTGGGTAACCTCTTCCAATGCTTCACCACCCTCCTCACGACAGTTTTTGCTAATATCCAACCTAAACTTCCCTTGCTGCAGCCTATTCCAATAAGTATGTTCATTTTTGCTTTCATCTTAAACTTAATCATATAGTGCTAGCTCCCTACCAAATTAGTAAACCTCCTAGTCTCACTTTAATTGGAGATAAATGTGTGTTGTGCTGTATGCGATGATGTGTCACTCCATCTGCACTACCCCTCTTCAAAATCCTAGATCTGCCCATGCAGGTGTCAAGTGCCTAAACTGCTTAAACTAGCATGTTTCAACCCTGCTGTCTGCTTGGCAACTGAACTGTATGCTGGCTTACTGCAAGCTACCTATAATTGTGTACTCTGCTATTGATTGTGTTTTAACTTGAGCCAGAAGCAGTGAAAGAAATGTAGCTGCCAAAGGGCTGCTTATTAGAAGCCTTGACAATGACCAGAGCTAGTCAGTTTTACAGTTGTTCTCTCCCCTTCTTTTGGCTTCTGATAGTTTTTTCTGGCTGCTGGTAGAAGACTTGATGATGAGGGCTCAGTTTTAGGACTGCTGATATCCCAGCACTGACATCATGTGCACTTTAGACCAGTTGGGAGCTAACCTTTTTTGCAGATGTGCTACAAGTTAAGCACTGTGCCCTCTCCAAGTGCCACTCCTATGCCCTTTCCCTAGCTGATTGGCCACTCTGCTTTCTGCTCTGTCCTTGATCTGCCACCTGCCACACAGAGGGCACTTATGGCATGCACCCTTTAAAGCAGGTGTGTCAAACTCATCTGGCCCATGTGGGACTGCTCCGTGAGCTGGATGAATGTTGCAGGGCTGGCCACATAAGCTGGATAAGGCCCCTCTGCAATTCTCCCCTTCCACCCACCCCACATAATACTGCTGCACCATGGGGCCCAGCCAGAGCAGGTGCCAGATTCAGCATGTGGGGGGGGGGGGTCCCAGAGACCATGCATCTACTGTGGCTTGTCCGGGACTGCACCCCACATGTCTCCCACTTTGGGACCCACACTGTATGCAGTGACCAGCTGGAGTCACATCCCAGACTGGTTAAACTGGGTGATGGATTTGGCATGTTGGGGTCGTGGGGGGCCTGGACTGGCCTCTTGTGGGTGCTGCATGCGGTGCAGGTCCTGGAGTGGGTGCCATGTACAATGTGTGTCCTTGGTCCTGCACAGGCTGTGCATAGGACCACTTAAGACCTAGGCCAGCACTGGGGGTTGAATTATGTGGTTCCTCAGGCCAGATCTTTTAACACCCCTGCTTTATAGCATTGCTTGCAGCCCTATCAATTCTGCCAGATTAGTATTCCTGAAAATGAGTAGCTTTCCTCCCTGGCAAGTGCAGAGCAGTTTGCAGTCTGAAGGCCATGCACTTAAACAGATTGTACTATATTGTCAGTAGTGTGCACTCAGTATTGATGTATCAGAGGGCCAATAACTCTTTCTACCTGGATACTTAAACCAGCCAAAAGAGTAATGTTTTAAGGCATGTGTAGGTGTTGATAGTAAATTTTGATGTATTTGTCATAAATCACTGTACAACTATAAACTTCTCTTCTTCCAAAGCCTTATAATCAAGCAGTCTACATAACAGCTTTATGTTCCAGTAAGAGAAAGTGATAAGTGTGGTATAGCTAAAACATCAATACCTATTGTAGTACATGCCTTCCCGCTTATTCTCCATTTTTCATGCCACTGACCACAAAAAGTACAGTAGAGTGTACATTACTAAAGTTAGAGGTTTGATATTAAATTAAATTGAAAGTAGTTAAGAAAATATTTTAGCATTCCTGAAAGAAAAGTATTTTGATTTTATATATTTTAAATTCAAGACCGCTTTCATTTAACCAAACAGATCTAATATAAGAACTGCAATTTACTGGGTCAGACAATAGGTCCATCTAGCTTAGTCTAACACAGTGGCAGAGACCAAGAATCTTACTGAAGATGTATCGGTCATAGGTTAGAAATGCTGCTGAATACGATAAGTCGTGTAGAACTGGTAGAATCTTTTATTGAAAATTCAGTGAGCCAAGCTATGGTTATTCCCCAGATGGTACCAATATAGTGGAATAGTTCTGTCTTCTTTTACCACCACTAGCGTGGTGTGGCTGAAGTCTCTCTACTCATTTTTCAGATGCAGCAAATGTGTAATGAAGTTTGCTGCAGCTAAATATAAGGTAGAGCAGCCCTTGAGGACCAAAGCTAGAACCATCATGAAACCATTTTTTTTTTCCTCCTGATCCAGAGTTGTATGAAATGAAACACAAAACACATGATAACCGTTTGCATGCATTTCCCCCTTGCATATCATCCAAACTAAAGGAGAAAAAAGCCCTCGAAGTCCTTTTAATTAAAACACAATGCAGTTGAGCCATCTCTGTACTGCTGGGACTGTTGTTCATATTCCCATGTGTACTGGGTACACTTATTAGCAATCATATAGAAGTGCTTTTTGACATGACTGAACTAATTAGAGGTGTGTTAGCGGTGCAGCCATGATGGTCCAGGAATTATGTAAGACCCAAGGATTTGTGGGGGGTGATACCTTTTACTGGATGTAGTTGGTCCAATAAAAGCTATCATCCTCCAAAAAATCCTTGCCTGATCAGAGTCAATTTTTAGCTTATTGTAACGTTTGACCAAACAGTTCCAAATGTGGCAAATAATAATCTTGACTGATGTTTAACTGCATAGAAGAAGATCGAAGGGCCATTGCCATACTGGGTTCTAGGGGGCAGAGACTGTTAGATCCTGAGTTTTTTACAAGAACATAATGTTCGGATTTGCAGTATTTTAATTTTACTGCACTCATAAACTAAAACTCCTCCAAAATATATTAAGAATGCATATATAAACATGTAGTTAAAGGTTTACCTTTTCTGAGTAGTCTAAATACAAATCAGTATAAAAGATATACAATAGCTAGGAACCTACTGAAATCACAATTGTGTGGAAATTGTGAAATCCAGCATTGTCCATGAAATCTACAAAATCGGGGGGGAGCCAGCAGTCTTCACGGTGCTGCAGCTCAGCTATGCAACCTGCTGGGGGTAATGGGGACTGCCTGCCCCTGCCCCTTGCCGCTAATTGATGGAGAGGGCTGCCTGTCATGGCCTTGCCCTTCTCCACCAATCAGCAGCCCTCACATGACGGATTGCTTTCACAACCAATCAGCAGCAAGGGGCACCGTTGTATGATGAACACCCCTTGCAGCCAATCGGAGGCAGCAGTGGTGGAGCCACTCAGCCAATCAGCAGCGTGGGGGGTGAAAATCGCGATCAGCCTGTGAATATGGCGGCCAGCCCTGCGTTCTCCCCGCTAAATCAGCTGGCCTCCTCCTTGACTTAGGTAGACCCTTAATGATAGCTAGGTACCTGTCTCCTGTTTCAAAATTTCCGGCAAAGGAAAGTTATTGATTTTTTTTTTTTTCTATAACTGTGTAATGAAATAATAGAATAGTAGGACTGGAATGAATGTATATGCTTTCATTTTATATACATGTGTTTCAGTGATTCTGATCTAGAATGGCAAAAATTAAGAAGAATACAAAAATTAAGGAAGGAAGCCAAAGGAAAAAAATAAAGCGGCCATTAGCTGCAGAGGAGCAACTTGTGTGTGAAACTGAACCAAAGAAAAAGAAACAAAGCTTGAAGGTAAGTGCCAAAGAGATAAAACTGTTAATTCATTGTTAGTCCCAACAGTACCATATCTGAATGCATTATGAGATTAAGTAGTAATGATTCCTTGACCCATAGTCTGTTCAGAATGAAACAAAGTTAAAATAAAAAGGATTGTGGGTCATGGTTCTCTAGGCATGTATGCTTGTTGGGTTTTGTTGTTTTTTTTTGATGGGGGAGGGCGTAATACACATGATCCTAAACTGTTTTAACTAGAGCTCGCCATTTTAATTAGTACTCAGCCACTTTAATTAGGACTGTCAGAGATCGCTCTAATTAAAACGGTCCCTCAAACCCCCCCGAGCAAGTGTATAGGCACCCCGTGTGCCTTCTTAAATGCCCAGGATTGGTGTCCCACTCGCCCTTAATTACCCTACTGCTTGAAGGCCTAGGTATATGATTGCTGTTCTTGTGGGGTGTTAATATGAAAGATGGCAGGGGATGTAGAGGTGTAAATGGAATTGAGTATCTATGGTTTCTTTGAATTAGCCATCAGAGTGAAGGTGAGTCATGGTATTGGCTTTGGAAAAATCTGAAAGAGGTATTTTGAAAATTGTGTGTTAAAAGCACTTTTGCATGCTGCCTGACCAGAAGATGTCAGCAGTCTCTTCACATTTTAGAGCATCTTCATATTAATTTTGAAGCAAAGGAGGTTAACAGTGTGGTGACAGATTTCAGTGAAAATCTGACTTCTCTTCCTCTCTACTCCAGCCATGGCAAAATCTTTTATTTAGGCTCCCTACTGCACATTATTTTTGTGCAAAAGCAGAACTATAGAATTGTTCTGGCAAGAATAGTATGTAAACAATGGCATTCCACTTCAGTTATTAGGAGCAAGAGCAAGTAAATGTTTTGAGCTTCATGTATTAAAATCTGCTAGCCTCTGTGGCAGATCAAGAGCCAGGCATCCTTATATTTATTTATATATGGCAGAACAAGAGCCAGGATTCCTTGTACTTATTTATAAATACAGTGCTGTTTACATGAATTAAAAAAAGTAACACAGGTCTAAATAGACTACATTGATGCCTTCAGGTCCTGCAAGTAAGTGGTCTACGACAGTGGTTCTCTAGACATTGGACTTGAGGAACCCCCTCCATAACTTCTGTGAAATGAGTAGCACTTGATTTCAAAAACTGATTTATATATTACAGTGCTTACCTTCTTGCAGAGAGACTAGGCAGTGGTGTGGGGGATTGTGTTCAGGCATTGACTAGCTTGAGACAGCATTTATTTACTCAGCTATCTGATTATCTCCTCACACCTCATCATCCTTCAAAGAATCTGGTGGCACCCCAGGGTGCACTGACACTGGTAGAGAATCACTGGTCTACAGGCTAATATAAAAGTTTGTTCAGACAGATAGGACATGAACATTACTTGTAGATGAGGGGATGGCTAAAACCTTTCTGCCTTTCCTCTGAAGTTCTCGAAGTGGTAAAAACCTGATCTTATACCTTTGTGCATGCTGATAGTCTGTGGCTTTGATAGCATTCTGATTCTTTCCTTTTGTTGTCTTTTAAAATTAGACACGTTTTGCAGTTGGAAAAAGCAAAGTAAAACTGGTGGATGTTGATCGGTGACTGGGTTTTTATTAAGCTTATTTGGCAAAAGGTGTATACAGTTTGAGGGATTTTCTTCACATGTGTAAATGTCTGCAGTTCGTTTGAGATATAGCTACTGCAGCTTATATTTCATCCATAGGATTGACTCTTGTTAGGTAGTAGTTTGTTTGTAGAGAACACAACTCTGTTTGGAGGCTATCTAAGAAAAGTTATGGAGTCCTTCCACATTTCAAATCTGCTGGGCAGATTTCAAGCAGACTAGAAGGGAACAGATTCCATGCTTATATAAAATTAGGGAGTATTGAATTTATCAGTCTGCAAAATACTAATTATTTTTTACTTTACTTTTTTTTTTTTTTTTTAGTGAAGGCATAGTCCTCCCCTCACTATATCTCATGATATAGGGCTCCCTTCAAGTATCTTGTAGAATACACAGGAAGATAACTCTAGACTTGACTTTAAATAAATCTTCAAATTAAAATAAAGTTTGTGAGAGATTATGGGAGGAAGTTCAGATTTTATTGCATTGCCTTCAGCAATCTGTAGCCTATCTACACAGCATCATTCCAAGCAACCAACAAAAAAGAACCAGAGACACCAAAACCCTGGAAAGGCCGGGGCCTTTCTGAGCCATTTGATGTCATGTCCCTGATCAGCTGTTGAGATTCAAAATCTTTTCCTGAATACATGGGTTTTTCAGTTCTGCGAGGGAGGGAAGTATTTATTGCAGAATAGAACCCTTAATTCTATCTCAGACCATCACTAAGCATAACAGTCCTTTAAATTACAAGTCAGTGGGTGGCTTCAGTATATATGTAGTGTTAGTTTTATGGAGCACCATGTAAGGTTAATGCCAAGCTGTTTTTTGGCATCCACCTTATAAACTATAACTGTTGAGAGCCAGAAAGTATGTTTGTAAGTTATGTTTTTTTTGTATTTAAAAGGACCAGAGTGAAAAATGTTAGAAATATTTTAAACACTGCCTCAAAAATGGTTAATGAATATTTTGTCAGTTGTTACTGGCCTTGTAACTCTTACCTGCATTTATACTCCCAGCATTTTGGAGAATGACCAATTTATTCATGATAGTTGCTCTAAAATACAGGCAGTCCTCGACTTTCCGATGTTCAAGTTACGACGAGCGGCACTTACGGCGCTTATAAATTGACCCCCTGTTACGACTTTCTGACGTCAGTTTCGACTTTACGAGACTCGATCCGACGCAACGCCACAGCAGCGAACAAGTTCGCTGTGCTGCCCGTCTACCTGTGTCGATCCGCCACACCGCCCGTTTTCCTGACTCAAGACGCTCAGTTGCTGTTCTGACACCATTTTTATGTGGTGAATCTTTGTGTTTCCAAACTTTTTCTTAAAATTTAGTGTTTCTTTGCACATAATGGCAGAAAAGCGTAAATCTGGTGCAAGTGGTGTTTCTAAGAAACGTAGAGCAATTACTATGGAAACAAAAATGGAAATAATTAAGAGAGCCGAAAAAGGTGAGACGCCAACTGAAATCAGTAGAGCTTTGGATATCCCCCGGACGACTATTGTGGGGATATCCAAAGACAAGGTAAGAATTCAGGAACATGTTAAGGGCTCAGCTCCTATGCAGTCACCTGTGATAACTAAGCAGCGGGTTGGACTTATTGCTCAGGTTGAGAAACTGTTAATCGTTTGGCTGGAGGGTCAAAATCAACGCCGTGCTCCTGTGAGTTTAGGTATAATTCAGGAAAAGGCTAGGAGTCTTTATGATGATCTAAAGAAACAACAGGGGGAGAGTTCTAATACTGAGCCTTTTAAAGCAAGTAGGGGGTGGTTTATGCGTTTTAAAGCCAGGGCTAATTTGCATAACATCAAGGTCTCAGGTGAAGCTGCCAATGCAGTTGAGCAGGCATCGTGTGCTTTTCCTGGGACATTGGCTGAAATCATTGAAGAAGGTGGGTATTGTGCTCAGCAAGTTTTTAATGTTGGCGAAACTGGGCTGTTTTGGAAAAAAATGCCTTCGAGAACCTACATTGCCAAAGAGGAGAAATCCGTGCCCAGGTACAAAGCTGCTAAAGATAGGCTCACTCTTTTACTCGGTGCCCATGCTGCAGGTGACTTCAAAAATGTTGTTGAAATGGGCAAAGAACTCAACTTAGATGCTGCGCCAGAGGATGTTGATGAGTTGCTGGCATCACATTCTGAAGAATTAACTAATGAGGACCTCATTGAATTGGAGCAGCAAAAAGTGGCAGAGGAAGAAGAAGATGCACCCACTGTTGAAGAGGCTCCTCCTCGTAAAGTCTTGACAACAAGAGTGTTGGCTGAGGCATTTCGATATTTGGAAGCTGCCATGTCCCTGTTTGAGGAACATGACCCCAACACTGAACGCAGTGCATCAGTGAATAGGGGCATATCCAACATGTACAGCTGCTACAGAGAAATTTACAAGCAAAAGAGGAGAAAATCTGTCCCAACTTCCTTGGGTGCTTTCTTTAAGAAAGCATCCAAGACTCCAGAAAAACCTGCAGCCAAGACTTCTGAGAAGACTCGAGCCAAGAACCCTTTAAAAAGTCCAACCAAGAGCTCTTCAAAAAGTCCAGCAACGTCACCTCAAAGATGTCCTTCCAAATCAATATGATTGCTATTTACAATATAAATACATTAATGTAGCTATATAACTCATCTATAATTGACTGAGTACAAAATTCTTGGTTATTTTTGGTGAAAATAGGGTATCAGACTTTGGTTTAGGAACCAATCCCCTATTTATAACATTGTTCCTATGGGTAAAAGCGGTTCCAAGTTACGATGTTTCGACTTACAACACAATTGGTTCCTGAAAACTGTGTCTTAAGTCTGGGGACCGCCTGTAATGTTTTGGTTTAGCAACTGTCAGAGAGCATGAAAGTTTAGTAAAGGACAAGGTGAAGCTACCACATCCATAAGGATTCTTTCTGGTCTTAACATATCTGATCAGGTCCCTCCTGACCCTAGCTACTATGAAACTATATGAATCTTGAACACATTTTGGTATCCAGAGATAGATGATGATAATGAATTTAAAGTCTTTCAGCATGTTTTGAAATGCAGTCTAGGCAACAAACCTTTTTTGGCTTGGAAACCTAATTCAAAGACATTTGCAAAGTTCTTCTCTCATGCTTGCACACCGGTTTCTTTCTTGGGGTATCACCTCTTCTCTCCTCCACCACCTAGGTCTTTTTTGTTTCAAAAATATTATAGTATAAGTATATTCTTAACACTCTGTTGCAAGCAATGAAATACTGAAAACTAGGGAAAAAGTGCATCAGGCCATTTAGTTGATCCTCTTACAGGATATAATATGATATAGTTTTGTATTAAATTTAGCATTGATTAAAAAATAAGCTTCTACCTGTTAAATTTGAAGGGCATATTATATGCAAAAAATCCAAAAGCATATTTAATAGAGATTAATGAACTGTGATTGTCTTTGAATATATTTTTTGTGATTTAAAGGGCAACATTTTTCCATTCTTGAAACAGGAAAGTACAGGATACAATTTCTTACGTGCTTTTTAAAAAAATAAAATGCCTTGATTATAAGAAATAAGCCAAAAGATAATTTACCATTTTAAAGCTAACAGGTGTGTACTACATTGCTTTTGGTGAAGGAGTGGTTTCAGTGGTTCACTAAGTGAATGTATTTACCCATGATTAGGCTTGGCAAAATTTGATATTTTTAAATTTATATATATATAATTTTTTTTGACAGCTAAAAGCAATGTTTATTTTTAAGCATTTATTTCAATATTTGTTGATTTAAAAATTTTCAGGTTTATACAACATTAAGAGTGTGGGGGGCAGACAATTTAGTAATGACGGTATACTGTTAAAAGCTTTATAAAATCACATGTTAAAATATAAAAAGTAAATATCCATAAATCAATAAAGCATTCCTG